TAAAAGTGTGGGGGGGGGGAGACACGTCCCCCGCGGAATCTACGCCCCTGGGCTACTTTATCATTTAATTTTATATCAGCATATATATTTTATAATCCTACTGCTTAAAATACCTGGGATTTTCCCAAAATAACCAATAAGGAAATAATGAATATAATAAGGAAAATATAATTAGATTTTCATAATGATTTTTTTCTTCTCAAACCTTGTCTGTGGTGTAAAAACACCCCTGGCCAAATGCCCCCAGAGGGAATAACTTCCCACTTTGATAATTACTGTAGTTACCATGTTCTGAACATCACATCCTTTTTTTCCCCCTCAGATGTAATCTATCTAGGTGGTTGAATAAAAATATTTGGACTTTATTTTTAAAAATGACCTCAATTTAGCACCAGCAAGCTCCTTCAAGTAGGGCTCATTGCAGCCTGCGGTGGACATCCAACCCCGCCCACATCCATGTGTGATGTCAGAAGTCACGCCCATATCAAATAAATCTTGTGATTCCCCATCCCCCTACCTGGAAACCCGGAAGTTTGGGGTATCTAAATAATATAATGTTGTCCTTCCTTTTACTAATACACATTTTCTTATTTTTGTAAAGGATGTCTAGGCTAAAATGGCACAACTTAAATCTAATATATTTAATATGTCTAATATACGGAGCTGATTTCATCATCATAACAGCCTGTAAAACGCTTGCATTAGGCTTGTTTGAGATGCGCCTCGCCTCGCCTGAAATGTAGGCGAGAGTAGGCGGCTGCAGTGAGGGGAGGAGTGAAATAAGCGCAGTCAAGACGGACAGTTTTGAGCTCTCGAAGTGGAAGATAACTACGAGATCAAAGGCAGATATCGCGTTATTCACACTCACGTGCTGTGTTGCTAATTAACATGATATAATTTCAGCTCTGTTGTTTTTATATGAAAATAAGTAAGATGAACAAGACACTCAAAGTGTCATGTTCACGCAAAGAAAGAAGGCGTAACTTTTATTCTCGCTGTAGTATTGTTGCTGCCATGTGTTTCGTTGTGAAAGCGAATCAAGCCCGCTGGACGCTCCTTCGTCGAATCCGCCGGCCGCGCCGTTCTCAAGCCCACCGCTCACTCTAGCCGGCCTCCGCTCACTCTAGCCACTGGCCTCCGCTCACGCAAGGCCACGGTGTGTGACGCTATGTGTTTCGTTGTGAAAGCAAAACTACTTTGTTTGGCCTTCCAAAAGAGGACACGACTAGAAGTCAGTGGTTAAGTTGTATTTACAACACTGTTCCAGAACAGTTCAACCCAAA